GTGAACCAATACCTCTTATATTAACCTAGATGGAACTGGAGACCATTCTTCTAAGTACCACAGAAATGGAAAAACAAACACCACATGTACTCAGCATTAAATTGGTACTAATCGATCAACACCTTTGTGCACATATGGAAGTAATATTCATCATGGATCGGTGAGGTGGAAAGGGGGCAGAGGAGATGGGTAAATTCACACCTAATGAGTACAGTTCATGCTGTCTAGGGGATGGACTCACTCGTAGTTTTAAGTCGTGTGGTGCAAAGGTAATTTATGTGACCAAATGGTTTGTACTCATGTAATATTCTGGGGGGGGGGGGAGACAAACCTGAAGAAAGAAATAATTGAGGGAAGAAAGGAGACAATGCAGAGAAGACAGTAAGATTTGCCAGGAGAGGCAAAAGGCTTTTTGAGAAGCTCAGTTAGGAAAAAAAGAACAAATGAGTAAATTTATACATTTTGGAGAAGAAAATTGAAGCAAAGAATTACACAGACAAAAAATGATGCAGAGACTTTTGTACTGAAAAAAGAAACCAAAAACATTAAAATGTGTGGAATATTATCCTTTAGCCTTGTAGGAATGTTTTTTATCTTGGTATATTGTACAGAATAAGGAATTAGTGGTTATATGGATGCAGCATCCCTGGTAATTTTTTCTCTGGATAGTTGCTCTTAGGTGAAGATCAACTACCTTTTCTACATCTTGGTCATAGACCTGCAGGCTTTTGCGTCTGGTAGGGATTTATTTCTATCGGGAGATGATGGTAAAGGTTATCTTCTTTCTGATAATGGTACCTAACTATGTTATCATAGAACTGTGATATCTAGTATGATAGCCACTAGCAACATGTGGTTCATAAGCACTTGAAATATGGCTAGTCCAGATCGAAATGAGCAGTAAGTGTAAAATATTCACTGGAATGTGAAGACAATACAGGATATAAGAAGGTAAAATATCTCATTTATGGCCTGGCGAAGTAGTTGACACCTATAATCCTAGCACTCTGGGAGGCGGAGTCAGGAGTATCACTCAACGTCAGGAGTTCCAGACTAGCCTGAGCAAGAGCGAGACCCCATCTCTACTAAAAATAGAAAGAAATTAGTTTGACAACTAAAAATATATAGAAAAAGTTAGCTGGGCATGGTGGTGCATGCCTGTAGTCCCAGCTACTCAGGAGGCTGAGGCAGGAGGATCGCTTGAGCCCAGGAGTTTGAGATTGCTGTGAGCTAGGCTGATGACACGGCACTCTAGCCTGGGCAACAACAGCAACAAAAAAAATATCCTATTTATGTTTTTTATATTGGTAACACTGAAATTGTCACATTTTGATATGAAAAATTATTGTCAAAATTAAAAAAAACTTATTACAATGCTACAGTAATCAAAAGTATGATGCTGACATAAAGATAGACAGATCAATCTCATAGAATTCAGAATCCAGGAATAAACTCATACATCAGTGGTTCATTGATTTTGACATGGATGTTAAAACCATTCAATGGGGGAAAGAACAGTCTTTTCAACAGTGTTTGGACAAATGGACAGTCACACGTATATGAAGGTTGACCCCAACTTCACATAATATACAAAAATTAACATAGAATGTTTGATATATGTATAGTATGGAGTACTATTCAGCCATAAAAAATGGCAAACTAATACATTTTGTAACAACATGGATGGAACTGGAGACCTTTTTAGATTCTCCTAAGTGAAGTATCTCAAGAATGGAAAAACAAGCACTGTATGTACTCACTATTGAACTGGAACTAATTGATCAATGCTAATGTGCACATATGGTAGTAAAACTCAGCAGAAACCAAGCAAGTGGGAAGGGGGAGGAAGGGACAGGTAAACCCACACCCAACAAGTACAATGCACACTATCTTGATGATGGGCACACTTATAACATTGACTCATATGGAGAAAAGGAATTCATGTAAGAAAAATGTTTGTAGCCCTGTAATACTTTGAAATTAAAAAAAAAGAAACTTCAAGCACAGCTATCTATAACATTTTTTTTCTTTTTGTTTATATTCTTTCCATTAGTCTGAGGTAATTTTATGTATAGCATTTCCTTTTCCTAATAATTTTCATTAATTGAAAGAATTTTGAATAATATTTGTGGTATCGTTACACTCTATTGTCCAAAAGTATTGTTTCTAATGATGTAAAGGTAATTATAAAATATGCAAATCAATTAAATCTAAAATGTCTGCATTTAATGTGAGTAAACACGAATATTTTTCCTCTATATTTAAAGTGCAGACATTGACTGAATACTATTTTCATTATAATAAAATTAGTTTTCTGCTCTGTCAGAAAAAAATAACAAATACCTAAATGTATGCAATAAAAGTATAAAACTCTGAGAAGGAAACAGGTGTGCATCTTGGTGACATGGGGTTTAGCAAGATTCTTAGACATGCCACCAAACATATAAGCTACAAAGAAAAAATAGATTAATTAATCTTCATCTAAATCAAAAAGTTTTCTGCATCAAAGGACACTATCAAGAAAGTGAAAAGAAAACCAAAACATGGGAGAAAATTTCTGCAAATTGTGTATCTGATAAGTAACTTGTATCTGAAATATATATGTCTTACAACTCAGTATTAAAAAGACCTGATTAAAGAATAGGCAAAAAAATTTGAATAGACATTTCTCCAAATAATTTATACAAATGGCTAACAAGCACATGTGATGATGCTCAACATCATTCAAGAAATGCAAGTCAAAATCACAAGATTTTATCCCATCCAAATCACCCCACTAGGTTGGCTATAATAAAAGGCAGACAGGCCAGGCATGGTGGCTCATGCCTGTAATCCTAGCACTCTGGGAGGCTGAGGCAGGAGAAGCTCTTGAGGTCAGGAGTTCAAGACTAGCCTGAGCAAGAGCAAGACCTTGTGTCTACTAAAAATAGAAAAATTAGCCGGGCATGGTTGTGAGCACCTGTAGTCCCAGCTACTCAGGAGGCTGAGGCAGGAGGATCACTTGAGACCAGGGGTTTGAGGTTGCCATGAATTAGGCTGATGCCACAGTACTCTAGCTCAGGCAACAGAACAAGACTTTGTCTTAAAAAAAAAAAAGGTAGACAATAACAATTGTTGGGAAGGATGTGGAGAAATTAAAACCCTCATACATCACTGGTGGGAATATATGCTTAAGCTACTTTGGAAAAGAGTCTGGAAGTTCCTCAAAAAGATAAACACAGACTTACTGGAAGATCCAGTAGTTTCACTCATACATATATGTATGTATATATATACTCAGGAGAAATGAAAACATATATCTATACAAAAACTTGCATATGAATGTTCATAGCAGCATTATTCATAATTGAAAAACCATGGAAGCAACACCAATGTCCATCAATAAACAAATTGTGGAATATTGATGTAATAGAATATTATTCAGCCATACAAAAGAATGAAGTACAGGAAGTCCTCACTTAACATCAATAGGTTCTTGGAATCTGTGACTTTAAGCAAAATGACACATAAGGAATTTCCCACAGGCTAATTGACATAAGCAACAGTTAAGTTCTGGGAGCATATTTCTGGTCACAAAATCATCACTGAATTTCTAAAAACCAAAACATTTCTAATATTAAACACTGAAATAAAGGTGACCTATGAAGATATTTAAGAAAGATTAATAAAAACAAGTAAGGAAATTATTTACCCACTTATTCCAGTTCAGGGTTGTGGGTGGCTGGAACCTACCCCAGCAGCTCAGGACACAAGATAGGAACCAACTTTAGACAGGACTCTATTCCACTACAGGGCACACTTAGACACACACCCATACTCACTCACAGAGGGACCATTCAGACATGCCAATTCACCTAACACACATTTTTGAAATTTGGGAGGAAACTGGAGTACACAGATAACATTTTTTTTTGTTTCTCATTAACTCTGTAATGAAATGATGGCGAATAAAATGATATCATTCAAGGACCTGCTCTAATAATATATGTTACAACATGGATGAACCTGAAAACATTGTTAAGTTAAAAGAAGCCAAACACAAAAGGTTACACACACATTGTGTGATTCCATTTGTATGAAATGTCCAGAATAGGCAAACCCATAGAGATAGAAAGCATATCAGTAATTGCCAGGGGCTCGAGGATGAGGGATGGGACGGAAGGAAAAGGGGAATCATTCTTAATTGGTACTTTGTTTCTTATTTGGGTAATGTGAATGCTCTAGAACTAGACATTGGGCACAACATTGTGAATACACTAAAAATCACTGAATTGTGCACTTTTGAAATAATTAAAAAGGTGAATTTTGTGTTAATTTTAACTCAGTGAAAAAAACTTTAAATGCTTTCATGAATATTACAATAAAAAATCAAGCATTATAATATTACACCAACTACATTTTTGGAGATATAACAAACTTCAATTATCTTTGAAGAGTCTTTTTATTAAGATAAATTAAGTAAAATTTTGTGCATACACATATAATCAAAACTGCCCTTCTGAAATAAACATTCGTATTTCTTTTAAAAATTGGAATACAATTTTTTTCCCAAGATAATAATAAAGTTATATTTGGGAAAGATAAGTGAAACTCTTAGCATTACATGAAAATAGTTCACTTTGTTTATAAAAGCAACCTAGAGAACCAGAAGAATGTAGGATGAAACTCTTCCTTTTGGATCCCCCATTTTGTGAAATTATCACATGTATAGGAGTGAAATTAAAATTCAAAGATTTAACATATACCTTACAGAAAACAAAATTCACTGACAAAAGTTTAAAGCATAGTTTTTCCACATATTCCACTACTATAATCACAAAGTTTACAAAGGCTTGATGTTAGGAACTTTGTGGCTAATAATCAGTATGGAGATGTTCTGAAATTAAGTTGATGCTAAAGAAAAAGTGTGTTTATAAAATATTTGATAAAAATATTTATCTCTATTAACATTACAACATGAAGGTACATATTACCAAATTATGAAACTATATAGGGCAGTTTTAAACAATAATCAGAGACTCCTTCTTTTTTCCATCTTCTTTGACCTCTTCTTTTTCGATTTCTTTTCCAACTTCAGCCTTGTTTTCATCTTCCTTTTCATTTCCTTCATCTTTCCCATCTCCTTTTCCATTTTCTTCTTTTACATCTTTCTCTTTTCCTTCATTTCCCTCTTCTCCTTCTTCCTTATCTTTTCCAGCTTCTTCATCATTTCCACCTTCTTCTTCCTTTCTATCTTCCTCCTTTTCATCTTTTTCTTCGCCTTTTCCATCTTTTTCCTCTCCTTTGTCTTTTCCATCTTCTTTTTCTCCATCTTCATCCTCTTTTCCATCTTCATTCTCTTCTCTGTCTTCTCCCTCTTTTTCATCTTCTCCTTTATATTTTCCATTTTTGTCCTCTTTTCCATCTTCACTCTCTTTTCTGTCTTCTTCCTCTTTTCCATCTTCTCTATCCTCTTTTCCATCTCCTCCTTTTCCATTTTCACCCTCTTTTCTATCTTCTTGCTCTTTTCTGTCTTCTCTGATTTCATTTCCATCTTTGTCCTCTTTTCTATCTTCTTCTTTCCCTTTTTCATCTGTATCTTCTTTTCCATCTTCTCCTTTCTCTTCTTTGTTTTGATTTTCTTCATCTACTTTCTGACCTTCAATTCCTTCTGCAGACACTGCTTCTTTTTTGTCTCCTTCCTCTTCTTCAACATCTTCAATTTTTTCTTCTTTTATTTCCTCAATTTCTTTTTCAGAAGCTGTGACCTACGTGTATAGGGAAAATAAGAAGATTCTGTTTGTAAATTTAGAACAGTTTCCCCTAAATATTTAGAATGGATTTTATCTATTTTATGGAAAGACTAATATTTCATTTATAAGAAAGTAATTTGCCCTTGGAAAATGCTTCTAAAATATCACATCAGGAGGAAAGCATTGTAAGAAATAATATTAATTAAAATATCTCCACACAAACATCCATAAATAGATATTTGAAACAATAAATTCAGAAAAGTTTGTGTAAATAGTTTTCATTACAAATATGAGGAAGCACAAAGTACATACATAAAGGATGACATATAGTTATTCTATATTAGAAATTCTCAATAAGGAGCATGGACATAAAATATAGCCCTCAGGAAAATAGCACATTTTGTTTTCCATAATGGTGAGATTGGGTTTTTTTAAATTACTTGCAAAGTCCTATACCAAATATCATAAGATCACTTACACAAGATTTTCCATATATGCACGTTTGATTTGTAGATTTGGTTACTACCTCACATTTTCAGTGTTTTACTATAATACCTAACAATGCTATATGCATTAAATATGCAAAGTAAGACCTATTTATATATATATATATATATATATATAGAGAGAGAGAGAGAGAGAGAGAGATTTGTCTTTCCATCTATGGAAGAAATAAAAGAACCATATATTCTTTCTCAGAAGGAGGTTACAAATAGCCCATGTGCTGACCAAAGGAATAGGATTGGTCTGCATTTAGTAAGAGGGCCATTATATTAGTACTAAGTCATCATCACTTGATCACTGACATTGTTCTAGTAACAGCAATCCTAAACCACTGATCCCATTACCAGTACCTTTAAATTCTCATCTTTTAAATCCATTTTCTTTTCCCCTTAGATATTATTATACTATAGAAGGACTACACATTTAATGTTTCTCAACTTTTAAACTACAAGGCAAATGAGTTTTCTTTCAGTTGTGCCCAATGGTAAACTTTAAAATGGACAAATCTGTTAACATTATAAGATACCTCTAAAATTTTGGCTTCTCCATTTTCAGCATTTTCATTGTTGTATTCTTCCTTAACAACTTCTTCTTGCTTGGTATCAGATACTGCTTTGACACTTGCATCTGTGTTTTTTTCCATCATATCATTTTTTGTCTTCATTTTCTGTCCAGCAACATGAAAAAATAAATAAATAAATTCAGAATTTAACTGCTGTGTTTATTAAATGGCCAACATCATTTTACCAGCTATTGTTAATAATTTATGGAAAAGGTTTAAAATACCACACATAAACCTCATATCAACATTATCACATAATACATTCAGTTTCATTGTAAACATAAAGCAGCGTTAAAAACGAACAATGTACTTCTGATATAAATCAAAGAAATTTTCTTTTAAATGGTATAGATGAGAAGTAACCAGTTAGAATGCTGACTAGAGGCTACAAAGAGCCAAATGCTAGCATCAGGTTAGACTTATAAATTAACTCTCACTGACGAGAGGGGTTCAGTTTATCTCTGTCAAGTCTACTTATTAGCAACCAGATTTTGTTGATTGTAAAGCCTCCATTGGTAATAATTAAGAGAAATGCTATGTTAGTGAGAGCATTAATTTAGATATATTTAAAAGAGATCACTTGGTGACAGGTGCTTCAATCTTTGTGTCTATAAGTTTAGAATGCCTTACATCATGATTGCTTTACCATGAAAACCCTTTGCCTAAGTGCATATACAGTAGAAAGACTATTATATTAAGGAGCCAGAAAACCTGTGTTTGAGTTCTGCATCTACCACTTAAGTGATGTGATCTCAGAGCAACAGCTTAAATCCGAGGCTGTTTATTCACATGTAAAAAGAGAGTAATATTACCCATTTCACAGGGCTAAGGAGCAAATGAGAAAATATATGTGAAATTGCTTTAGAAACTGTGAAATGCAATATAGATATAAGTTATTACCCTTTTAACACACGAGAAAGTGAGAGCCAAGAAGGGTATTTTTAAACTCTATGATTATACAATATCTTTTTTAGTCAAGCACTGTTTTACCTTTTTGAAAGAAAATAAACTGTCTTTAATGTTCAACTTTTAAGTTGAGTACCTACTTTACAGAATAGTGAACTTGAAAAGTTAACGAGAAAAAATAAGAAACTTTCTTATCTGCTGTCACTTAAGAAAACTTCAATTGCACTAGTTATAGCAATATTTTTTAATCAAGGATTTCAAAGCATTTTATGAAAATGATGACAATTTGCAGTTTCTTCAACTACAAAATGATGGGATTAGATGATCTCCAATGTTCAAAATGATGGGATTAGATGATCTCCAATGTTCTTAAAAGCTTTAACCTTTTATGATTTTATAAACTTAACCAATCCTTAAAATACGTTTATATATTAAGCAATTAACAGTGAATTTAATATTGATGTTATTCCTATTTCCACATGTCTTTAGTCACAACATCAGAGCATAGAAATCTATATGAAATCAACTGTGTCCATTTAAAAATTATGTATGTGAAAGCACTTTGCAAACTGTAAAATATTATCAAATGATAGCTACAATTATTACAAAGCCCTACTTCGATTACTACAGTTTACACCTTTCGTTTCCCAGAAAAGTGTACTGTGACTAAATGATGTCAAAGGCATATATACTTAATGTGTCTATCTAACTGAAATTATTTGGTCTGTCCTCAACAAAAATGCCAAAACAGAGTAGACAATCACAAAACAGGAACAAATATTCCCCACCCAAAGGGCTTATTTGTACTATATGGCATATTAATAACTGAACGAAAAAATAAAGCAAGCAAAATGATCAGTTGTATGTCCTTTCAAAAATTATTTCTGAAGTAAACCAATTTTCTTCCAACATTCCAAGTTGAATATTTACCCTTGGAGTTGATGATCTTTTGGGCTTCATCTCTGGTGTACTAGGCACAGGCATCTACATCAAAAAACACAAGTTGTGGAAAAAGAAAAAGAAGAAGCAATCATAACTAAAGAAAGAGCACTAACAATAAAATTGAACCTCTGAATTAAATTAAATGGGTATGATTCAAACTGAGCACTAGGAAAAAAACACATTTTCTTGGTATAAAAGTTTCTTCTTACAACTTCAAAAATAAATCTTGTATTAAATTATTTAGGATTCCCTGAATTTTAAAATTACATTTCACAATTCATGGATTGTTTTTTGTGTTTTTTTTTCTAAGACTACTCACAGCAGACAGTCTGGCTGATCTTCTCTTTGGCTATAAGTGAAAAAAAATCATCAGTTAAGAAAATTAAGGATGGCACAAAACTAGACTTATTTTTATTGTGATGAAAATATTTGGTGTAACACTACATACATACTGTCATTAAGGAAGCAATTGTGAAAATGATTAGAAAATACCATAGTAGAAGTATAATTTTTGATTTTTCTCTCCTCTAGACCCTTCTTCATACACTAAGGAAAAAAATCCCAAATTAGGCTTAAGCTGCTAGGCTAAATTTACAATGGCTAGTAGCAAGGAGTGCTTTTAAAAATGAAAATACAGCCTCTTCTTGCCAACTGACAATTCTTTTGCTAAAAGGAAGAAGCTCTCCCCAGATCTTAACAAGCACAATAAGGTCTTAAATTCCAAGAAGCTTGGAGTTTTTAATATTATATTTTTGAGAGAGCTCACTGGCATACCATATTAGTACTCATATGGTACAAATATACTGACCAGCATATATTTTTAGCTACTTAAGTGTCTCCAGTTCATTAAAAAATGGATTTTTTTCGGATTCTAAAACTAAAGAAACTCACCTCCGGCTTCATATCACCTTGACCTGCAGCCTATACAGAGAAGAAAACCATACAGACATAAGGTTATTAGGGAATATATATTAGAAAATATAGCCTACCACTTATGAATTTTCCCTGGGTTCTCGCTGAAGCAGCCACGTGTTGTTTTCTAGAAGCCATGCTACATACTGTCATCTACTAATGTGCAAATGTGCACCAAGATGCAAGTGCACTCTTAAATGCATGCACACTATCAGTTTATGCAACTGATAGTCAATTTCATCCTTTTGTGTAATCTGCATCTCCTAAAACCAAACCGTTCTAATTTTGAAATCCACCTGCTGTAGACAGTGTTAAAGCCAAAAAAAAAAAAAAAAAAAAAAGGTCTGGGGGCGGGCCGAACGAAGGCGGAGCTTCATGCAATTTCCCAGTCTTTTTGCCTTATGTTTGGTATGCAACTGTACCTATCTTCCCCTCGCCACTGACTCTGGACTATTCTCCTCTCCAAGTTCTGCATACAAGAACTACAACCCCCACAATGCTTTAGCTGGGGGGAACCTCTTTGTTACAAAGTCAGTGCTTTATTCTGAGAAGCCAGCCTCTGATTTTAAAACTTCCCGCCACTACCTGCTACAAGGTTGCTGTCAGTTCTGCAAAAAAAGCAAGACCCACTACACAAGCCTAGAAAAGCACAGTGGCGGGAATCTCAAGGAGGGGGATGGTGACTAGAAACGACTGCTTTCTGTATCTGAGCAGCCCTTTAGCCTCGGAATTTTCAAGCTATTGCACGATTCATACAGCACCAGAGCACAGGAAAATTTCAATCTTGTTCCTATGCTCTAGGAATAGGAAAGGCAGACAGATTAATAGAAATAATACAAAAGCAGTCATAATATCTTACATTAGCACAGTGCTTTTTGGTTTTACCAAGCAATGAAACAGTTTGATTTCACTTCTAAGAACTCAGAAGAAAAAAAGAAATACCGAGCGTGAACTTATTTTCAGTCTGAGAGGGGCCAGGAATTGTGAAGTGAGGGTTTGAAGAAGACCTGTAGCCCTTGAATAGCTCCGGTCAATTCTGCATGTCTAAAGTGAACAAATCCATGCTACTCCAACGTTGGCAATAGTTTATCAGACGCAGTTCCCCTATTACCTTTCCACCTTTAGCTAAAGAGCTTGGAGAGAGCCAGATCGCTCAGCCCTAAAGTTTCTAATTACAGCGATGAATCTCTCCCCTCTCTAGGACAGTTTGAAGTCTGCGCCGCCTAATGGCACAGGATTACCATTGCATAGCCATCTGGCATGACAAGAAGTGGAGGAGGGAAAAAAAAAAGAAAAAAGAAAACGGGAAGAACAAAGGCAAATACAGGAGAAAGCCGTGGCTTTCGTCCCCCAAACGGGACGGTCTCCCAAGAAAAGCCGGAGGCAGAGGAGGAAACTGGTGCCTGCAAGTGCGGTTGGGAGAAGTGTTCTCCAATAGGGTAAGCGGAGGAAGGGGGGTGGGGTAGGAAGCGACAACACAGTGCTATGGCTGTTTGTAATTCAGCATGGAGACACCTCACAAGCGATTATTTCCCTTAAACAAAACACGCCAAAAGTGAACTACCAGTTGCATGCGAGATCATCCTAAACCTTACACCAACTGCTCTTTGCTCTTCCCTCCCCTTCCATTTCAATACATCACAAAATCAAAGTGGAAGCCAAAATGCTTTTGAAAAAAATCTCTGCCTATTAGGAAATAATGTATTTCAGCAGCTAATTCCCATTCTGTCTTTCCATTTCACTTACCTTTCTTTTGGGCATTGTTGCAGCTCTCTATAGATGTTAACAGTCAGCAGAAAGAAAAGCCAAAAGCAAGAGTCTCTGCCTGACCACTCGGAGAGCAACTGAGTTTTCAATGAACTAATTGCAGCACGACCTGTACTCGCCTCCCCCCCAAAAAAAAAAAAAAATCCCTCGTTATTGGCAACATTAAACACGCCAAGACGCAACCAAACTACGTGAATGGTTAGCAGGAGTGGGAGCCAGAATGGAGTGACGGGCTATCGGGCCAATAAGAAGAGGGGGCCGGCTTGGGGGGGGCGTGGCCTGTGGACTAGCCTGAAGCCCTCTTACGCTGCCGGCTCCTGCAAGCAGTAGGGTGAAGGAGCACCCGTACTTAGTAGACGTTAAGTGCTGCGGCATAGGACCAACGGGAAAGTTAGAATTTTTGTGATCCGTTTTTTTTTTTTCTTTTGTATTGTAATGACTGGCAAAAGCCACGACAGTTGCTTTCTCCACAGACTCCAAACCCCCCACCTTTCTGTCTTCCCAGGGACGAAAGTTATTTTCACACCAGTTGAGTCTGGGCTCCAGTCTCCCTGCCACCTTTAGCAGGAGAGTAGAGATGAGCTGACGGGAGCACTCATTCAGAGAGTCGAAACGAGTGGAGATGTATCTCTGATGTGAGAACTTACTACCAAAGCAGAATGGTGGTCCTGGGACAAGGAGGGTGCCAAAATGGTGCGTCTCTCTCAGGTGGAGAGTAGCAACAAAACTGGGAGCTGGAAGAGCAGAAGACCCCTGGAGGCGGAGATATCCATTAAATACCGGTATCCCACTTGGTGGGAGTCCACCAAGAATTTATTGGGACCCCGTGGGAAGTTAGTAATAGCAGAGATCTATCCAGAATAAAAGTATTGATAGAATGAATTTTTAATTCAAAGGTGCCATTTAGTGAAGGGACCCAGGAAGGTGCCATGCATGAAAGTGCTTAGGACTCAGAGCCTGGACTAGCATAATACAATTGAGGTACTCATCTCTGCTGGAAAATTTAAGATTGTGCCCCAAACTCAGGAAATTAGGATGAGATGAGTGAGGTGAGTAGTGCAAGTACAAGTTAAGATCCTGCCTTTATTTTGATATTTTGTTCATCTTGACTTTTTTGCCTTAATTTTGATCTTTAACAAATATTGTATTAAAATATTAGTTATCTTTATTATGGAGTTTTGGGGCAACGACTTAAACTTTTTGCCTAAGGAGAGCGTCTCCCTAGTCTCATTCTAGTCCCAGTCATGTTTAGGTGGTTTTTCTACTCTAAGGGACACTTCTAGTTGTCTGCCAATGACACTTCCTGAGATTTAAAGTTTTGTGGGTTGGGATGGACATTGGCGACTAAGGTACGTGGGAATAACTATGATTAAAACGGAAGATCCATGTCCCCATAGCACTTTCTTAGAGGTGCCTTGCTTTGATTGTTGTAAGAGGTAATTGTACTTAAAAGTGTTGCAACAATAGCTCACATCCCTATTTTGGAAGGTTAGTCAAATTAGAAAGTCAACTTTTTGAACAGTTACTTGAGGAAGAATCTCATTTGTGTTCATGTGGATTAAAAGAATTGGGATCATTAGTTTAAAAGATAAATACTATAGCTGCTGCAGAATGCCAAGCTGTCCCTTCAAACTCTAAAATACAACCTAACAGAAGAACCCATCATTTTTATTTTTGCCCATTCTTCCCCAGCACCTACAGTGTGGAATTAAACAGATCAGATAGGATAAAACTGCCTGACTGCAGCTCAGTTTCCCTTCCCCAACTTCCTATTGTATTCTGATTCAAGTAGGTAAATCAGAAAGACATTTAAATTGTTTCCTTGGCCCACAGTAAATGGAATCATCCCTAGATGCTCTTGATGCCTCTTTTTACCCTTAAGGTGAAAGCATTGTTGGGTGAATCTGGATATGTTTCAATCATTTTATTTTCCAAGAGTTAGAAGGTAAGCGTATAAATTGATTTCAGTATAAGGATTATCTCATAAGGATAAAGGAAAAAAATGAAGGGAATGAAAATGTGTCAGTACTGGAATGTATTCATTCAACAAATTCTTATTTAGCATTATTGTGTGTGTCAGATTTTATTTTTGTAGACTAGCTTATGAAAATGCAAAACCCCATGGCATGCAAAGTTGCATTACACAGTTTCTGCCCTTAAGGATTTTTATAATTCTGTAGGATAGAGCAAACATATGCATACATATTTACAAATCATGGTTGTTTGTATAATCTGAGTAGTGCAATCTAAATTCAATAATAAAACAGGAAGTAAGGATCTTTTAGGACCAAAAGAATTGATGAAGGTTTTGGTTAAGGAGGTGGTATTTGGTTTGGCTCTGAACTGTTGGGTAGACTGTTAAAGCAAATGCAGAGGCAGGAAAAGTTTGTACTTGTTCAGAGTACAAAATGTCTGGTCCAAGTGGGTTAAAAAAAATGGTTATGAGGAGCTTTGGGAGGTAAAGCTCAGAGATTGGAGGCAAGGCAAAATGTCTAGATCAATGAGCTCTAAAATTGCTCTTAAGTTTGTCATCAATTTTCATTTATGGTCAGTTTTTCCACCTTGCAGTCTAACTTGTTGCAACTGTGATTTATGTCTTATCAAATTGAAAAAATAATCACCCATGCATAAGACAATTTTCTAAATGTGAAACATTCTTTTGTTTCTTGACTCCCAACACTCCCAACCCGTGTTTTATCTTTCTAACCATTAATCAGGGTGGTCCTTTGCACCAGAAAACCAGGTTTAGGCTCTGCCTATGCTATATTATTATCTCTGACTATAGCCTCATGCTCATATATCTTCCCCTAGAAAATGTCTATCAAACTGTTAAGATCCATCCAAATATCACCTCTTTGACAAAAGCCTTCTCCAATTATTTCAGCCCTAAGAGATCCCTCCCTCCTGTAATACTATAAAATTTAGATTATATCGCTCACGTGAGACAAGTAAGCTTGTTTTTTTCCACTTTTTCCCCAATTATTCAGTCTTATTTCTTCACATTGATTGAAATGTATACATACATATTTCGTCTTGCCTAAAAGTTTTCTCAGCACATCATGCCCTACATACCTTCTGTAGAATATACTACCTGTACAAAATATTTTTCTAAAATTTGTAAATTATTCCAGAGTAAAAGGGTTATTTTTGTGTAACTGTCAAAGTTAGACTTTACTGCAACACTTTTTATCCTAAATTTACATTGGCTTGTTTCTCTTTTTTATTTCTTAATGAATATGAAAGTAGATTGTTTGACCATTCTCCACAGGACTCCCTAATTTCGCCCTGGCTATTAAGCATGCCTACTACCACTCTCAAAACTTATAGGAACTGTATGTAGCATGTCCATTTAGTAAGCAGTGGGAAATGACACAGGAAGATATGAAGAATTATAGATTAAGAACACCAACATTAAAATGTTTGAGACAGAGAATTAAAAAGAAAATATTAAGATTATGGGTTTATGAGAAAAGGGATGCTACACAATTAAGATAAAAGAGGTATTCAAATGTTCTGTATATTCATAGTTTAAAATTATACATGTAATGCATAACTAAAAGTATTCTTTCCATGCACTTCTTTCCATGCAGTAAGATCTCAAAAATACTAATTAACTAGTAATAAATATTTTCCTTTTCCTGTTAACATATCTAATTTTGACCTCATCCATTACCATTATTATTCCTGTTATATTTTCAAAAAATAAAAAAATATATATATAAAAATAGTTACTATTGTTAGCAAATAATAATGCAAGACTTCTAGCATACAATTAAAATGCTGGGTTTTAAATATGTTGTTGGTTGGTATTTTCAGAGGGCAAAAAAATGATAAGTCTGCAGTGAGCCAAATACATCAATGAACTTATTTCTGAGGCTTAAGATTGATGAGAAGGATTTATTTAGATTTGTGATGGTACTTAATTGAGACTGACACTGGAAAAACTGTGATTCTGAGGACCCAGAGCTTTCTGTTTCCTATATTTATTCACAATAGGCCAAAGACTAATAAAATACTGAATTAATGAGTGACCCCTGATATGATGGATCTGGAAGGTTTATTTCCAATGGTAAAAATAAATGGCACTGCTCTCTAGGGGGATGGGCACACTTGTAGCTCTGACTCTGGCCGTGTAATGGCAATATATGTAACCAAGTGTTTGTATCCCTGTAATATTCGGAAATAAATAAAAAGTAAAAAGGAATATAATAAATTTTATGTTTCCAATTGCAAAATTTCTACGTACTTTTAACGTAGTAGTTTAAAATAATGCTATTTTTAGGGTCTCAGACATACAGGCTTAAAGGAGACAATTAGAGATTTTCTAGTTCAATACCCTTGAAATACAGATAAGTAAATTCAAGCCTAGATAATTTAAATGACTTGTCCAAGGTCACTTATTAAAAGTAGAACTTTTTTTTTCATTCTTACACTAAAAACTTTATCTATTATTGTGATATTAGCAATTATACAACTTACACAGAAATATTAATGACTACATGGCATATTTGGTAAATACAAATTCTATTCCTTCTCAGTGACTTCAAAACTCTGGTCATCAACCCAATTCAGATCTACCTTTCTGCTTACTTACTGGATCATCTATTCGTGTATGATCTTAAACTTGTATCCTCTAGTTAGTTTTCTACTACCTCAAGAAGGTAGAAAATTCAGGGGAGAGAAACTCTGTTTTTATCTTATTCTTTTTTTTTTTTCATTTGGTCTAGGGTAATTCCAGTGAGTGTGGATTTTTAACCTTGAACTTGCCACATACTTGCCAATATTTTCCTTTTTCTTTTGCCAGCACAGAGGTTTTCAAATAAAATTGCAAATGAGCCTTCTTATTGGCTAAAAGTTATTTGAAGATTTCTAACTTCCAGTAGGTGTCCTCATTTGCTTGAAAAGAGTTTCAAACTTTCTCACTTTAGCTATAAGATTTCTGCTCCCCTTAAGTGTATTTATTTATTTTTAAATACACATTTATTCTTTTAAATTAAAAAGTAATTCTATATATTTAAAATGTACATGTTTTGATACACATAGTGAAATGATTACTACAGTAAGGCAAATCAACATATCCATTGATAAAATAGTTCATTTTTTGTGATAAGAGAAATTTACTAAATTCTATACATCGAACTTAGTTTTTATTTTTGGTATAGT